CCATTCATCTTTCCGTTTGCTTTTTGGTTGCTTGTGTTGCCATGTGCCTTCTATTTGCTTGCATCTTTGCTTGCTAAAAATCTATTGTTATGGATCCTCATCCACTTGCTAATCTTTTTAAGAGATTCAATTATGATGAACCAATTACTAGTGAGTTGAGTGCACTAGATTATCTTTATGATGTTTTGCTTGAAATTCGTGAATCTAGAAATTGTGATGAAGTGTTGAAAGAAGAAATTTATGAAGTGATTCATGATAGCTCCTTGAATGAAAAGCATGATTGCAATGATATTATTATAAATTCTATTAATGTCAATTGTGTTAATGATATGCAAAACCCTGAGCTTGGGGATGCTACTTTTGCTATGTCCACTACTTGTTGCAATGATCATGATTGGGGTGATTCTTCTTATAATCTTGAAAATTTATTTAAGCCCCATGATAAATATGAGATTGATAATAATCTTTGCAATAATACTGAAAGTGGGTTTGGAAGAGTGTCAACTTTAGATACCACATATTTGGATAATGTTCAATCTTATGAAGTTTTTCAGAAAAGTGGGTTTGGAGAGGTCATGACTTTAGTTAATGATATTCCCACTATTTTGGAAGAGTGTAAACTTTCCATGCATGTGCATCATGTAGAGAAAATTTTATGTGATAGCTATATTGTTCAATTTTACTATGATCCTACATGTAATTATAATGAGAGAGGAAAATATGGTTGTAGAAATTTTCATGTTACAAAATTATCTCTCGTTATGTTGAGATTGCTATTGTTTCTTTCTTCTTCCATGCATATGCTAGTTTTTGCTTGTCTTGATAATTTGTTTGCTTATAAAATGACTATGCATAGGAAGTATGTTAGACTTAGATGTGTTTCTCACGTATTTTGTGATGCTCTCTTTGTGCTTCAATTCTTGTCTTTCTGTGGGCATCATTGAAATCTCAATGCCTAGCTAAGGGCGTTAAACAATAGCGCTTGTTGGGAGGCAACCCAATTTTATTTTTGTTCTTGTTTTTTTGGACCTGTTTTGTAATAAGTAATTCATCTAGCCTCTGGTTAGATGTGTTTTTGTGTTTTAATTAGTGTTTGTGCCAAGTAAGACCTTTGGGATAGCTTACAGTGATAGTTGATTTGATCTTGCTGAAAAATAGAAACTTTTGCACTCAGGAAAACAATTCTCATGTTTAGCAGACGCATGATAAAATAGTGATTCTTTTTGCAGAAGATTAAGATACAAATTTCCTCTGTTGTCCTAAGTTTTCAGAATTTTTGGAGTTCCAGAAGTATTCGAGAGTTACAAATTGCTACAGACTGTTCTGTTTTTGATAGGTTCTGTTTTCTTTGTGTTGTTTGCTTATTTTGATGAATCTATGAGTAGTATCGGGGGGGTATGAACCATGGAGAAGTTGGAATACACTAGATATTACACCAATATAAATAAAGAATGAGTTCACAATAGTACCACAAGTGGTGATTTATTTTCTTATACTAACGGATCTCATGAATTTTCTATTGAGTTTTGTGTTGTGAAGTTTTCAAGTTTTGGGTAAGGATTTGATGGACTATGGAATAAGGAGTGGCAAGAGCCTAAGCTTGGGGTGACCAAGGCACCCCAAGGTAATATTCAAGGACAACCAAGAGCCTTAGCTTGGGGATGCCCTGAAAGGCATCCCCTCTTTTGTCTTCGTCTATCGGTAACTTTACTTGAGGATATTTTTTTATTCACCACATGATATGTGTTTTGCTTGGAGCATCTTGTATGATATGAGTCTTTGCCTTTTAGTTTCCCAAAATCATACTTGCTGTACACACCTTTTTGAGAGGGACACACATGAATCATGATTTATTTGAATACTCTATGTGCTTCACTTATATCTTTTGAGCTAGGCAATTTTGCTTTAGTGCTTCACTTATATCTTTTTAGAGCACAATGGTGGTTTTATTTTATAAAAATTATTGAACTCTCATGCTTCACTTACATTATTTTGAGAGTCTCTTTAAATAGCATGGTAATTTGCTTTGGTTATGAATTTAGTCCTAATATGATAGGCATCCAAGAGGGATATAATAAAAACTTTCATATAAAGAGCATTGAATACTAGGAGAAGTTTGATTCCTTATAATTGTTTTGAGATATAAAGATGGTGATATTAGAGTCATGCTAGTGAGTAATTGTGGATTAAAACGTTGCCAGGGTACTTCCCATGACGAAAAACAGATATACGTGACACAAGTCCAACGTCGCAAAATAGAGGAAATTTTGTAGTGAATTAAAAAATCTCTCACCGAACATGAGGTAGGCTTATGGTGGTTGGTGTATATTGAACGGTGAAATTCTTCTACCATGATGCATGGTTCGAGTTATTCATCTGAATGTATTCTCCTTGTTGATGCGGTCTTGATGGCGCGAGGGTACCTCCAGGTGAGCATCGATGCGTCAGGGATGATAACGATGCCCGACGATGAATTAAATTGGCAACGTAGGCAGAGCCTATGTTTGTGAAAGAAGTAAAAAAAAGTTATAACATGCATACATCCATGTTTTTTAGGCAATGCATATGTACATGCTTTTCTTTCGAGGGAAACATACCCGTGCACTCGAGAAGAAGTGCAGCAGAAAGAAGCATCAGGGCTTGGTCAAGCGGACATGCTCTACAATGGGTCGATTGATGTTGTAGCATTTACACACGGGCGCCTCAAACAATCTTCAAACGCCCGGGCGGACGACTTGACCACTGATCGGTCAAAACAAAGATCTAGAAAGGCACCTCAAAGGGGTCTCAAACGCCCGGATTGACCAGCAACCCTCATATCCAATCCAAATCTGGAGCGGATATGGGGCTGCCCGGGCGTGTCCTCCATGTTGGACTGGCATTAGGGGTCCCACGAGAAAATACCCATAAACCCGATGGTCCAATCGGTGTCTCCCCCAATGGGGTATGAACGCCGCGTGGCGCTGCTCTGGCCCACTGCATCGAGGGCCAAAGTCCGACTATTTAAGTCAGACGGCTTCCCCCAATTCAAGCCACATCCACTTCCTCCCTCTTTTACGCGCCAGCCTGAGCCATCGACCTATCACCCTCTCTGCCTTACTCTTATCTCGCTATTCGGCTTCACTGTGGCCCGTCAAAATAAGACAAGTTATGCTATGCTAACGCTGGAGCGTCGCTTCCAAATGTCGGAAGAGATCCGGGCGAGGCGCACTGCCCGCATTACAGTCGGCTTGCTTCGGAATTGTCGAAGCCGGAGGAGGAGGAAGAAGAAGAAGAGGAGAGGAGCAGCATGAACTATGTTCGAATTTGTTTATATTGCGGGTGAAGGTCTAAGGCAAACGTTGGACAATTTCGCAGACAAATGATATGTCCGCTTTGGGGCGTTAGGACATCTCCAACACTGACTCTCAAACCGCCCGCATACGTCGTACTATGTTGTGTCATTCAACGCGGGTTTGTATCAGTCCGCCGACCGGTACATATGCACTTTTTCCCGCAAAATAGAGATAAAGTGGGGGGGGGGGTGATTTACCGGAGCCTAGACAGTAGACATGTAGGACTCCGATACCCCTGGCCCAACCAAAACCCCTCTCGATCCCATTTTCTTCCAGTCCGGCCCTTCTCCCCCTTGCTTTGCATCCGCACCATCATCCTCCGATGCCACCACTATACCTCTCCGGCCAACACACATGCATTGCTGAACCTCCGCAACCAGCACCGACGCACCCGCTCGCTTTTTACGACGGTGTCGTCCACCCAGGGCACGTTCATAGGCAGGTACACTCCACCCCATGTCGACGACATCCATGGTGGCCACCACGCTCCGTAGGTGTTCGGTCAAATGTTATTGACCTTATTTTCAAACGACATGTAATTTTCTTAAAGTAAGGAGGACGATGGGATACTCTACCATGTAGGATGAGTTGTTGTGCGATGTGTGGTTAGACATATCCGCGGGTTTCATAGGCAGGAGCGAGGAGGACCTTCAGGCAACAAGTGCATGAATTGGTTCACGCGCAAAAGCATATTGCGCCCTACGACATGCACATCATCCATGATCGCAATGTGAGGTGGTTATTGTATCGATGGTACGACATTCAGACCTCTGTCACTAAGTTTTGTGGCGCGGTTGATATGCTGGAGGCAAGGTAGCCATTGCGCGCGGCAGAGGAGGACATCATAAGTTTTGCTTTTTCTTGCTCAACTTGTTGACCGATTCGTTCATTCATTCAATATTGCTCTACACATTGTATAGTCCGCATGCGCTGTCGTAATGTACCATGGGATGAAGGAATGGTCATTTATGCACATGCACTGTTGGATGAAGCTGAGGCGGTATGTGTAGGGCGACAGACCGTTAATCTCGTTGAATTTGAACTATTATTGTACTAGACTAATTTGTAGGCCACGTGGATGATTTATGCTATTTTCTATCCGAACTATGATGAAATTCATCGTGTTTACACGAATTTCGTCTAGTTAATTGAAATCCGGCTTCACATATATGCGAACAACATTGTATGACCGTCTTCGGTCAGTGTCTCTGAACTATTTGCGCCCTTGCCCCTGTTTGAGAAAGAAAATGGGTTTCTCCGCTCTCCATTCCCGATCCTCAGTGAAAGAAAACCTACCTCCCTCACAAACGACTTTTTTCCTCTCCACCAGAGCGGTACCCTTCCGCTTCCTCCCCGCCCCCAAGCTCCGATCCCACCCAGTGCGGCTCTAAAATCTCCCCGGCAGTCTACCGCCGCCGGCTCGCCGCACAGCGAGCTTCGCGTCGCCGCCGACGTCTAACCCCTCCGCCTATCACGCGCGCGCGTCGCTTCTACATCACCTTGTCCCTGCTGTCTCTCGACCCGCGATCTCGGAGCATTGGTTTCTGAGGTACTACGAGCTTCTATTCATCCAGTAATAATTACTTAAAGGCGTACTAACCCTCCACTAATTCTGGGCGCACAGCATCCAGATCCGCCCCTTTTGGGTCGGAGGTGCTCGCAGTGATGGTGAGGACGGAGGCGGCGGGCGCTGCTCTTGCGGTGGCCCTGTTGGCTTGTATGGTGGGGGCTGGAGCTGATGGCTCTGATCACAAGTACAAGGAGGGAGATCGTGTCCCGCTCTACGCGAACAAGGTCGGCCCTTTCCACAATCCAAGGTATAACGGTCTCGTGATGCGCCACAAGCTTTTGTAGTTCATGTATGGTCCCGTTGTCTGTCTACAATAGACGCACGAGTTAGGGCTTCGTACTGCTGTCTGTGATGCTAACTAAGGCTAAATGAGAATAGGATTGCTGCCGAATTAACACTAGGAATTCCTGTTGGCACTTATTTGTAATTATTATAACTAAGCAAGCGCAAGTGGGGTTATTCAATGATAGGAGGGAGGCAAGAGTAGTTAGTATCAGTTTTTGTAACTCGAATTTCACTTCATAAACTGCGACCAAGTAGTATGGATGTCCCAGTCATAAGGAAAAGAAATCTCTGCTGGTAATGATGCCTTCTACTATGGTAATTTGACAGTTCAAGCACCACTTCAACAGTTTATGTTACTAAATAGCAGCTTTGTGAGAATTGAATTGCTTTTCCGTCAGGCCATGATCAGGATAATTCAGTTACTCTTTGTCTATTGCAGTGAGACATACCGGTACTATGATCTACCCTTTTGTGCACCAGGTTTGTACTTCTTAGAGATGTCACATGCCTTTTCTTGTTACTTGCTCTATTTAGCAATTCGTTGATTGGTTATGCCCAAGTCAATTTTCCTTGTTATTGACTGCTGCATGGCCTGCAATAGAACACCCAAAGGACAAAAGAGAGGCTCTTGGGGAGGTTCTAAATGGTGATCGGTTGGTTGATGCACCATATGAGTTGAACTTTAAGGAAGATACGAACTCCAAGACTCTCTGCAAGAAAACATTGTCCAAGGAGCAAGTCGCCAAGCTCCGGGATGCAGTTGCCAAGGATTACTACTTCCAGATGTATTATGATGACCTGCCTTTATGGGGATTCCTTGGTAAACTGGACAGGAACAAGGAGCATGGCGGTGGAAAGTGCCTTCTGTTTAAGCACATCCACTTTGACATCATGTACAACAATGACCGTGTCATAGAAATCAATGTTCAGACAGATCCGAATGTCGCTGTGGATATCACAGAGGACAAGGAAGTGCCGGTAGAGTTCTCTTATTCAGTAACATGGAAAAAGACAGACATTCCTTTTGAGAAAAGAATGGAGAAGTACTCCAAGTCTTCCTCTATGCCGCAGCACCTAGAGATCCATTGGTTTTCAATAATTAACTCATGTGTAACAGTGCTTCTTTTGACTGGCTTTTTGGCAACAATCCTCATGCGTGTGCTCAAGAATGATTTCATCAAGTAAGATCCTAATCATTTCATTCCATTCCCATCGCATGGAAGCTTTACTAAATACAGTTTTCATGCCCCTGTTTTTTTGAAGATATTCTCATGAAGACGAGTCCCTTGAAGACCAAGAAGAGACTGGATGGAAGTATATACATGGCGACGTCTTCCGTTTCCCGCAGAAAAAATCTCTTTTTGCAGCAATCATTGGATCTGGATCTCAGCTTCTTGCCCTGTAAGAGTTTCCTCGGTTCATTATATTTTATGATCCAGGCTATGCCATAATGATCCTAACATGTAACAAATGCTTCTCATCCAATAGTGCAATTTTCATCTTCCTCCTCGCGATTGTTGGGGTCTTCTATCCATACAACAGGGGAGCCCTTTTCACTGCCCTTGTAGTCATCTATGCTCTTACGTCTGGTATTGCTGGCTACACAGCCACTTCCTTCTATCTTCAGCTGGAGGGAACAAACTGGGTAAGGCTTGCATTAGTGGTTGGTTTCTTCAATGAAATCCTTTGGTGTTATATTCACAAACTCTGCCTTAATGTTTCAGGTGAGAAATCTGATATTGACTGGCTGCTTGTTCTGTGGGCCACTTTTCTTGACATTCTCCTTCTTAAACACTGTTGCGATAGCGTACAGTGCTACAGCAGCTTTACCTTTTGGTACTATCATTGTCATTATTCTCATCTGGGCACTTGTAACCTCTCCTCTCCTAGTGCTGGGTGGTATAGCTGGGAAAAATAGCAATACAGAATTCCAAGCTCCTTGCCGCACAACCAAATATCCACGGGAAATCCCTCAGCTGCCCTGGTACCGAAGCACCATTCCTCAGATGGCAATGGCAGGGTTTCTCCCTTTCAGTGCTATTTACATCGAGCTGTACTACATATTTGCCAGTATCTGGGGGCATAAGATATACACCATCTACAGCATCCTCTTCATTGTGTTCATTATCCTAATCATCGTCACAGCGTTTGTCACAGTGGCGCTCACGTACTTCCAGCTTGCAGTTGAGGATCACAAGTGGTGGTGGAGGTCAGTGTTCAGGACATCGCTTCATCTTTGGTTATCCTCGTCTGTTACTGTTTTTGTTTTATTTATGTTTACTTAGATACTTATTTGTTGTCTTTGGACAAGAGAATGGATCAGAACTGAGATAGGAATCGTAGGGAAATATGCAGTTCATCAATTATCCGGTAGATGGAAATGGCATGCTGGATCAATAGTATCCTATATTCAACATAAATGCACAGTATTATTTAAAGTTGTCTATGGAAATGCTTCAAGTCATACATAAAGTACCACAACTTAAACTAAACACTTGGCACTGTTTGGAACTTGAGTGGCACTTGAGGAGAAGACTCATCATGTATGAGGAAACCACATTCTACATTCTTGGATCCTCACATCTCTTGGACTTGATGCATACATATTGGGCATGTTGTGTTTTCTTGATGCTTATCAATAAGAGTTTGGGACAATTGTCAATGTACCATTGCAAATGTGTGCAATTGTCAATATACCATTGGAACGTGGCAATATCCCTAAAAGTTATTTTGCTTCGATTTGCAGATCTGTCCTTTGTGGAGGCTCCACTGGTATTTTCATCTTCTTCTACTGCATCTACTACTACCATGCCCGGTCAGACATGTCAGGCTTCATGCAAACATCCTTCTTCTTCGGCTACATGACCTGCGTCTGCTACGGTTTTTTCCTCATGCTGGGAACTGTTGGTTTCCGTGCATCGCTGCTATTTGTGCGACATATTTACCGTTCCATCAAGTGCGAGTAATCTACACCAGAGTGGTGACATCAGACATGGCACCCGGGAAGCTCAAGAGAAGCAAACCGACAGAGATTGCTTCTGAATTTTGTGTCCAAGCAAGTTGCATGTCCTCAATATGAACCTCTTCTCAAATTACATTATCGTGCAAGTTCTATTACGAATGATGATGTAATGTGTAGAACAGATTAGAGTCAACACTATGATGTTACACTTGTATCTACTGTGTTATTTAGTCCAATGTGATACATTAGTTTGTTCCTGGATCCTGTGTTTGCTTGGTTGCTTGTTAGAATTGTGCTTACCTGGTGGAGAGCACAGTTTGTGAAAGGTTTTTTTTTGCGAGTATGCAAATTGCGTGCCATATTTTTATGGAAGGCAGAAAGAGTCATTGTCACATCCCAGATTTCTCAAAACTGAATGTTTGAAAATTCACAGGGAATTAAACTTTTTCCAGAAATACTTATGTTTGTTTGCCTTCAGTTAGAATTAGGATAAAAACTGACTCAATAGATTGATAATGTGGCCCAATTGAACTTTTGGGGATTAATTAGAAACCCTAAATTGTCATTTAGGGGATAATTATAAAACCCAATGTGGAGCCACATGTTTTTAGAGTGACCTTGTAACCCTAGTGATAGTTGGAATCAAACCTCACAAAGCCCCACACCACTAGTTGAAACCCTAGGTTGAGTTCTAGAAAGTTAAAAGAAACCCTAGTGGGGTGAGCTAAGTAAGTAAGTAAAATCCTCAAAATAATTGAAAAAACAAATGTTCAAATTGGATAGAAGACAAACTCACTGAAATTTAAACAGTAACAAAATCCAAATGAGAAAATGGAAATGGCTATCATTTTGGAATGCTCCATTGGCAGCTTTCCATTCGCATGTGGAGGGTCCTTGCCTCCTTGGTGTTGCTACACATAACAAGGTTGTACTCATGAAACATCTACGTAATTTTCTTAATGGCCACAATTTAACATGGGCGCAGCTTATTTGGAATACCTATTACTCCTTTGGCCCTTCTACTGTTAGACATGTTGGATCTTTCTGGTGAAAAGCCATTCTAAAGCTTTTGCCTAAATTCAAGGAAATTGCTACTTGTACTGTGGCTCAAGGCACTTCTGGCATATTTTGGCATGACAATTGGGACAATGGTCCTCCTAAAATCCAATTCCCGAAGTTGTTCTCTTTTCTTGTTAATTGCTCGGTCTCTATGGAATAGGTTTTTGACTCTAAAAGCTTTGAGGATCTTTTACACAACCCCTTTCAATCCAAGCTTTGGCTCAGTTTTAATAAAATCAGATGATCTTGACTCAAACTTAGCTCACCACAAACAATGACAAATTGAACTATTGTTGGAATTATGCTTTTCTTTCTCTTCTGCCAAACTCTACAAGGTTTTGATACAAGGGGAGGTTGTTCATCCTATCAGTATGAAGATTTGGAAATTAGCAGTACTCCTGAGATACAAGATTTCTGTTGGTTGCTCCTCCATGACAGACTGAACACCAAAGATCTTTTGCATAGAAAATCATTTCACTTGCCACCATTGTGTTCTATGCAATGAATAAAAGGAATAATCTACCTTGCATCTTTTCTGGGATTGCACCTTTGCTTTGCAATGCTAGGATAAGATTATCCCCAACAAGACGAGAGATACTTCCATGCTTCAAGAGATTAATTAATCTGTTCCTAGCTGAGTTGGGTAATGGTATTGCTATGAACATCATAATCATGGGCTGCTGGTACATCTGGATGCAAAGATTTTTTTAAATGGCAATCCTAGCATTCTGTTGTAGAAGATGTTACTCAAGAAAGACTTGATCTTGGCGAGACACAAAATCAGCCACAAGTTTCTTCAAGTTCATGACTATTGGATAGAATCACACTTATATTCACTAATAAATTCTAGTCCTTTGTAATTAATCTCTCATGTTTCCTAGAGCAGGCATTGGTTAGATAGGTTTTAGACCCTTCTTTTTGTTTTTGATGTAAATATACTTTTAGCAAAAATTTAGTGTAGAATGATTGTTCTACAGTCTCTGGCTAAAAAGAAGAACAAGCTCATGTTGCTTTTCCAATATGGAGGGGTTGATGTCCAGAAACTATGCAACGAGCATCCACTCTCGATGTCAACACGTTGCACTATGTTTTTTTGAGGGTTAATGTCGCTGCTTTATTTAAAACTCCGCAAAGCCTGGAATGTCATCCGAGATTACATCCAAAATGAAGTCTAGGGACACCCCCAACCAAACCTTACATAACTCATCACCCACACCTACTCTAGCCAACTTATGCGCAACGACATTTGCCGAACGTGGAACCCAAGTCACTTTGGCTCCTTGCTTCATCTCCAACATTTGCTTGATGTCATGAATCCGCGGACCCACCGCTGAGAAGTTCCTGCCATCTTGATTGATCATCTGCACTACATGCTGGCTATCCAATTCCACATGGACATTTTGAGCTCCAAACTCCTCAGCCACCTGTAAACCTCTCTTGCATGCTAGAATTTCAGCAGCTTCCGGGTCTGCAATGTTAGGAAAAAGATGGCTTACCCGGCTAAAAAAGCACCATTGTGGTTCCGTAGCACTGCACCGCCACCCGCCTTAACTCCGTCTGAGTTAATCTTAATCCATCCCTCCGCCAGAGCTTCTCACTTCTGCACTTCCTTCACCTCTCTCGTGCGCACCTTGGGCTGGTGAGCATTCGTCCAATCCAGCTATATGAGCATGCACTGCTTCCATTATCACATGTGGCTGCTGAATCCTGTTTCCGTCCCTCGCCTCGTTCCTCGCCAGCCATAAACCGTACGTCGCCTAAATCATTGCCTCCTTCTCGTCGTCGGATGCACCGGAAAACCACTCAAGAAGCCATCGAGCTAGCGCGCTCTGGGTATCAATCTGACCGGGTGGGGCTGCCACCACAATACCTTTTTCCGAACGCAAAAGCTCCCAGAACTGAGAGGAATGCTGACATGCCCAGAAGCGATGTAGAATGGTTTCTTCTCTTCCGCATGCAACACAAAAAACACCCTGTTTGATCCGTCATCGGTGGAGTTCTGATCCCATAGCCAGTCCATTACGTATCATTCGCCACATATGAATCTTCGCTTTCGGTGGCGCGCTAGTATCCCACAGCGCCATATATGCTTTGTGTTTCTGAACAGGATTGGACGATTCATGTTGACCCGCCCTCTATCTTCTCCTCGACATCCACAAGTGGTAGGAAGATTTCACAGTAAAGACGCCGTTCTTGGAGAAGTTCCAGGCTAGATAATCCTCTGTGCCCGGACCCCCAACTGCTATCTGCGCAATATCCCGCACATCTGACTCAGAGAACATGTTGGCAAGTTTACAGAAATCCCAGCTCATCCCATTGTTGTTCAGGAGGTCAGCAACTTTAGTCGTCCCCTGGACATATAATTGACCCAGTGGTCTCAAATATCCATACCTCAGAATCCAATTATCATGATGTATATTAATCTTTGAGCCATCACCCACATGCCAAACCAGCCCCTCTCGGAGGAGATCCCTGTCATGAAGAATGCTCCTGTACGTGAAAGAGGAGTTAGAAGGACAAGTGGCGCTGAGAATCGTCTCATCTTTGAAATATCGGGCCTTTAACACTCTAGCACAAAGTGAAGAGGGATTAGTCAGAACCCTCCAAGCTTGCTTAGCGAGTAGAGCTTGGTTGAATCCTTTCGGGTTTCTGAACCCCAGACCCCCCCTCTTTCTTTGATTCACACATCTTTTCCAAGATATCCAATGCACTTTCCTTTCGCCATTTATCGCACCCCACCAGAATTTCGACGAGATTGAAGTCAAGTTCCGACATATCTTCTTCGTGAGGTGAAAACAACTCATGGTAAAGGTCGGTGTCGCTTGCAAACCTGATTTGACGAGTACCTCCCTCGCCGCCTTGGACAACCCCTGTCCCTTCCATCCCGTTACCTTGCCTTTCGAGCATTCTGTAACATACTTAAAAGTACCTTCTTTCGACCTACCAACCAGTGTTGGCAGCCCTAGGTACCTCTCACTCAGCGCTTCAGACTCAATACCAACAACCTGTTTCAGCTCAATCTTTGTTTGTTCATTGCACCCTCTGCCAAAGAAAATAGAAGACTTCTGCAGGTTCACTTTTTGCCCCGAAGCCTCCTCATAGCACCTCAAAATCTCCTTAAGAGTGGTCATGCTCTCACTCGACCCCTCCAGGAAGACAATGTTGTCGTCTACAAATAATAAGTAAGTTACATGGGGGCCAGTGCCCCCAAAATAAACACCCTTAAGATTATTATCCTCCTGAGCTCTTTTCAGCAGAGCCGAGAACCCTTCAACACAAAAAAGAAAGAGACACGGTGATAATGGATCTCCCTGTCGGAGCCCCCGGGAGGGTGAAAATTGTCTAGAACAGCCCCCATTAATCTTGACAGAAAATCTTGCTGACTTGACACACCGCATGACCATGGTTATCCATTGTGGCGCAAAACCAAACCGAGCCATCATTCTCTCCAAAAAAACCCACTCGACCCTGTCATAAGCTTTCATCATATCTAGCTTTACCGCACACAAACACTTCTTCCTTTTCCTCATCCTAACAGCATGGACACATTCATACGCCACCAAAACATTGTCCGTAATCAGACGACCAGGGACAAAAGCGCTTTGTTCCTCAGAAATAAGAATTGGGAGGATCACCTTCAGTCTGTTTGCTAGGACCTTTGTAGCCAGCTTGTACAAAACATTACATAGGCTGATAGGACGGAATTGAGTAAGTAGTTCTGGAGCATTTACTTTTGGTATCATAACAATAACAATATCGTTAAAGTTCTTCAGGCAAGCCTCACCATTGAGAAAAGCCCGTACTGCCGTGCAAACATCCTCCTTAACCAAAAGCCAGTGTCTTTGGTAAAAAAGTGCAGGTAACCCGTCCAGTCCCGGCGACTTGGTAGGTCCCATTTGAAACAGTGCCGTCTGTATCTCCTCATCTGTAACTGGTGCCGTCAAT